GGCAGCCCAGCTCCAGGTTGAACTGTTGTTCAGCATCTTACCTGTAGAGGGCAGTGTCACTGGCCCTCATATGTGGGATCCGAACCGGGGCCCTCCGGCGTCCCAAGCCAGCTCTTAACCATCGCGCCACTCGGCCGGCCCCAATTTGCACTTCTTGATCCCTTCCCCTTTCACCCATCCTTACCTTAAAGAAGTCCCTCTAAGTTTCCTTGTAATACTGGTTTGGTGATGATGAACTCCTTCACCTTTTTCTTGTCTAGGAAGCTCCTTATCTGTCCTTCAATTCTAAATGACAGCTTTGCTGGGTAGAGCAATATTGGTTGTATGTCGTTGCTTTTCATCACTTGGAATATTTCCTGCCATTCCCTTCTTGCCTGTAAAGTTTCTGTTGAGAAATCAGGTGACAGTCACATAGGGCCCCCCCCTTGTAGGTAACTAACTGCTTTTCTCTTGCTGCTTTTAAGATTCTCTCTTTGTATTTAACCTTTAGCATTTTAATTATGATGTGTCTTGGTGTTGGCTTCTTTGGGTTCATCTTGTTTGGGATTCTCTGCACTTTCTGGGCTTGTATATCTATTTCCTTTACCAGGTTAGGGAAGTTTTCTGTCATTATTTCTTCAAATAGGTTTTCAGTTCCTTGCTTTCGCTCTTCTCCTTCTGGTACCCCTATAATGTAAATGCTGGTATGCTTGATATTGTCCTGGAGGCCCCTTAAACTCTTCTCAATTTTTTGGGTTCTTTTTTCTTTTTGCTGTTCTGGTTGGGTGTTTTCTACTACCTTATCTTTTACATCGCTGGTTGGATCCTCTGCTTCATCTAATCTACTGTTGACTCCCTGTAATATATTCTTAATTTCCGTTATTGTATCCTTTATTTCTGACTCATTGTTTTTTTATGGTTTTCATTTCCATTTTTATGCTTCCTATCTCTGTTAAAGTTCTCCCTGACATCACTGAGCATTCTTATAACCAATATTTGGAACTCTGCATTTAATAGATTGCTTATTTCTGTTTCACTTAGTTCTTTTTCTGGAGCTTTGTTCTGTTCTTTGTCTCCCCATTTGGCTGCCTCCCTGTGTTTGTTCCTGTGTATTACATAGAGCTGCTATGTCTTCCAGTCTTAGTAGAATGGCCTTATGTAGTAGGTGTGATGTGGGGTTCAGTGGCACAGTCTTTCTGGTCACCTTAGCCATGCACTCCAGTTGTGTCCCTTGTGTGGGTTGTGTGTACACTCCTCTTGTAGTTGAGCCTTGGTTGATAATTGCACAGCAGTGTAAGGGATTGATCCTTGGGCTCACTGGTTGTGAGGACTGGCCTTGACTGCAGTGGAAGAGTTGTTGTGCAGGGGCTGACCCTATGGAGCAGAATCTGCCTCAGCAGGACTCTGATGTCTGCCCAATCCATCTCTTGGGTGTGTTGTACTTGGAGGTGGCTGGATGATGCTACAGCTAGTTTTGAAGCTGTCCACTGGGGGCACCAGCCCCAGGACCACCTTTGATAGGATCTGCTATAGGTCTACTTCAGCCACAGCCTGTGCCCCACCCGGGACCACCTAGTGAGAACCAGAAAGAAATCTGCATATGGCTGCTGCCCTTGCTGTGCTTGGAAGCACCTTGAGAGACCAAACACGAACCAAGGCTGGCTGCCGCTAGTGCCAGCTTAGGGCTGCTCAGTCAGAAGTGCAGGACATACTCAAGCCAGATGCTGCCTGTCTGGGTTTCATGAACCTTTGAGAGGCTAGGAAAGTCCTTAGCTTGAGCCAAGGCAGGCTGTCTTCATGAAAAAGCCGCTGAAAGCAGCCTGGATATGCCTGAAAGTTGGGTGGGGCCAGGTCTCTAATTGCCAGGGCGTGGTGAATGAATTGCATTGGGGAGACTCAGATATGGCGGCTGCCTGTGTTAGAGTGTGCGCTGGGAAGGGGGAAGACTCAAAAAAGAAACAATGGCCTCCCCCAGTTCCCCCGTCCAGGAGAAAGCTGCCTCTCGAGCCCCCGTCCCAAGCCAGATAACTTAATTCCCCACCATTTATCTCTGCCACCTTTTAAGCTACTGTCCCACTGCTGGAGCTCAGAGCAAGTGATTCCATTGGTGAGTAAGTCTGTGCACAATCCCTTTAAGAGGAGCACCTGTGAGCGCAGCTGCATTCAGTCTCAGTCACAATCTCCGCTGGTTTTCACACCCCAAAACTATGGGGCTTTCTCTCCCCAGCACTGGAACCCTGGGCTGGGACCTCTCGCACTTCTAGGGGCTGGAGAAGGACCCCCACAGCTGAAATACCCTCCCGATCATTAATGGTCACAAGCAGGTGTGGGACCAGTCCGTTCTGCATCTCTGACCTTCCTACCAGTCTGGAGGTGGCTTCTTCTGCACATTCTTAGTTGAAAGGCTTCGATTTAGTTTGATTTTAGGCGATGCTCAATAGTGATTGTTTTGTAGATTAGTCGTAATTTTGATGTGGTTGTGAGAGAAGGTAAACACAGCGTTTACCTACTGCACCATCTTGGTTGTCCCCCAGGACCATATTGTTAATGGCCATATCATTGAGTCTGCTGGTTTCAGATAAAGAAGAAAGCCTCACTTAGGGTTCTTTCTCCCTAAAGTCACTGGCCTATGGGCTCCTAAAGAAAAAAAAAAGGATACATTAATTCAACTGGAACTCTCCTGGCTACTTTCATCAGTGGGAGTACAGTCTTGTCTCAGAGCCAAGAACCACTTGTACATGTCACACTCACTGAACTCTGCTATCCACGCCCTTGCATGGAGGGTGGGGAAGGAACTATGTGCTGGTTCCATAGCCAGCCTTCTGCATTTGGTATGCATGGAATATGTTAGAGATTGCTGTGCTTCCATTTTAACATTTGATTGTCCCTTTGTGTACATGTTGGTTTATTTTTCT